CTATCCGCTCGCGGGACGTTTTCCCCGTTCCATTGCGCTCAACGAATCATCCCTCGGCGAAATCTTTCTTCTTTTTCCGCGGATTATCGTCATACGGCAAACAGAACGAAGGGATGCTCCTCGGTGCGCGCTGCGCCATCCAATGTAATCATGTCGCACCGTAAATTTACGCGCAAATAATCGTCGTAATGACCGGATAATTGCCGCGTCCGTTCGGTACGTGAGTTAAACGAGCAGTAATTATCGTACGCTACGAACGGTTAATCGTTACGATTAACGATGAATAATTTCGCGCTTATTTTTTTGCGTGATTAAATCTCATGACTTTGTTAAAGTTTTATTGCGCCTCTTTAGCCACATCCCGAGCCAGCATTAATTGGAATCAATGTCTCGTTTCTTTTTCCAAAGCGCGGATCGCGAAGATCGACATGAATTTTGATTAATCCGAAACGCGGGAGAGATCGAAGACCGCAAAGAAATCGAAAGTCGCGAGAGGATTGCAAGAAGGAAATGGCTGTGCGCGGATAAAAAGTTCGTGGAATTTTAATATCCTATGATATTTCCCCCGGTTAGCCTCTAATTAATAGGTGTCTATTCCTATCGTCTATTGCATAGTTTATATCTCTCACTTAGTTTTAATTAACTATCTAATACGCCGACAAAGTATTAATTCTCGTCTCCGCTTTTTTTATTTTTAGTAAAGTATATAATGTTATTAAACAAATGTTAGGTATTAAACTAACGTTCTAAAATTAAAGTTATTAAACAAATACTGTTTGCGATGTAAAATGCAACTATTAGTCATATTTACCTTTTTTAGAGATACCTATTTTTAGAACGCATTAATAAAGCGGTAAAATAGTAAAATATCTCTCAAGATTATTAAACTTTTACAAACTTGTAATTAATTAATAATTCTATCAACCAACCACAAGTTTTCTTATAAAAATTATCCATTATTTTGATTAAGCATATTTACTTTGCTTTTAATTCCATTTAATTTTTACACAAAACGTAAACGACGAGCGCGTCGGATATTTTACTCTGGGAAATCGAAGCTGCGGAACCTTAAATAAAGATAAAACGTAATGCAAATAAGGGCGGCATTTAAGCAGGACGGAGGCTGCGGGAACTGAAAGTCGATTGGAAACGAGAAAACTTTTTCACCATTGTTAGTCTACATGTTCCACCTCGCTCGATTGTCGAAAGTTACGAATGCATCGATTTGCTCGGAGTTCGCGATTAAATGCGATTCCGCGAGTGAATCTGTCCGCCGATCTACGCGCCGTAAAGAATCGATACGAAGCGCAACCGGGAAACCGGCCTGATTGCATTTGCATGCTCAGACTTGGCTCAGGGCTTCCGATATTAATTGGGAAAGCAATTTTATGCAACGCGACAACATTAAAAAGGACCGTCTGTGTTATTGGAATGCGCATTTTAGTTTGGTACGCATTTTAGTTTGTCTAAAGTAAAAGTACCTTGGCTCTATCAAAATATCGAAAAAAAGTCTCCCATGCTCTGAATACCTTTTAATCTCATTTAAATATCTCGCGTATCTTTTTAATGTAGCGTTATATTGACGAATTGGTTTAAGCTTTCGTTCAAAACAAATTGAAATAACTCGTCTTGCGTAACAGAATGTACTTAAAGGGGACCTGACGATATCATCGCGGTATACAATCTTCACTTGTCGCATTGTGAAAGAAATTTAAATTTTAAATAAACGTAAACGTTCGTTCAATTGTATTACTCTCTATTTGTAGATAAACATAAAGTTAACGTTAAAGCGTAAAGGAACTGACTATAAGGATCCTTTTGCACTTAACGTGAGAGAGAGAGAAAGAGTTACCTCTGCAAAGTATATTTTATCGATAACGCCATGTAACATATTTTCAAGAAAAGTACCTTTACGGTAAAAGAGAAAGCAGTTCTCTGAAAAATTTTTCCCGAGGTAATATTCTCCTATCGATCCAGCGATAATTCTCTGTTTCCCAACACACGCGTCGATCTCCTTGTCTCTCTCTCCCTCTCCCTCCCTCTTTCTCTCTCTCTCTCTCTCTCTCACACATCGTCATCGCGAATATCTGCCTATCGAACGAAGATAAAACTCCGAAGTAAATTGATTAATCGTGATCTTGCCGCGACGATGAGTCGTGGCCTTCCCCTCACCCCCTCCCTCCTACCCGGGGGTTTCCGTTTTCGTATTAAGAAGAAACTCGATATTAAAAAAGTGGCTGGTTTACAGAGAGCGCGATTGGACGACCGATTTCCATAAATTCTCGCACGGTGGTGTATATCGAACGTGCGTCGTAACAAACGTTACCCGAAGTACACGGGGCACGTTTCAACGTTGCCTCCGTGACGCCCATATTACTGTCATAAATCTAACAAGGCGGCCCCCGGACATTAATCCACGAGACCGCCGCCTATACTTCCGCCCCGGCACGACCTCCACGTCCGATAAAATAGCCCGTCTATAGCCGGCTGCCTCTAGTATTATTTACGCCGATTTAATGAACCGCGGCGGAGTCACGGGCATCGCCGCGCCAGCCGCGGGCACCGCGAAACGTTCCGCGAATTGCTCGTTGAAAACAATCGCGGAAGGTCGATTTTGTAAATCTTTCTCCGTGAATACCTACGTCGCGATTTAAGTCGCCGTTCGTTCGTCTCACGTGACATTCTCTTGCGGCAGAAACAACACAGTTGCGAAGTAATAAATTTCTTTCGCGATGGCATACGCCACGCGTTCACGGGGGATGCTGGCGTTACATCTCTTGCATTTCTGCGCTTCACAATATGTATTATTTGTGAAAAATGGAAATTGCACGAATTACACTCGTCGCTGCACGTATACAATACGCTTGTACGATTATACGTGCCGCACATTATATTTCGCGAAATGTACGGCTGAAGCTATAGCCATAAATATACACATCTGCGTACGTAAATGCGTTAAGGGAAACATAAATGAATAGATTGTTTCCGAAATTATTTTTTTTTACCTAGCTTTCATGAGTATTTCAAAAATCCTATTAACACCGTATTGTGTTAAATATAACAGTTATTACCAGCTATTTGCATTCGTATTATAGTACAATCATCGTGTTGTTACCGGTTACATTGAGAAGTTTAATGCGTAAACGCGACCCAGATACGAACCGTTCCGTTACCGGCCGTGTGGGAAAACACACACACACACACACACACACACACACACACACACACACACACACACACACACACACAC